TGGATTGGTGTCCTCAGTGGGCTTCTCACCCCCAGCTCTGCAGTCCACAGGTCAGCCCTGGAGTTACCAGCAGAGCTGAGATGCTGCCATGTGTCCCAAAGCCTCTCCCAGCCGCCTCAGCCCAAGTTGTCCACGAGTCTGGTGACACTAACAGTGGGTCACAGTGAGAAGGGATGAGAAACACTGGCCGTCTGTCCTTCTCCAAGTGTGTGGGTGTGACGAGAGGGCAGATTACACGAGGAAATAGAGTGTTTAAGACAGAAAGGCGCAGTCTTAGTCAGGCACAATACTGGGGAGAGTACCCCTGAATATGTCAAAAGTAGAGTCGGTTATATTTATCTTACATCCCCTAAAGTTTGGCCAATTGCTGTAGTAAACAACTATAAGAATGACTTAGAATAAGCCACTGGTGGTACAGGAAGCTGGGTTAGTATGATCAAATGGTTTTATGAAAATGTGGATCGCATATGTAAATAAATACCTATTAGGTCGCTCTAACAATGAACATATTCTAAATAAACAGAACTATTTTGCTGTTGAGATCCATTCTGCAGATACAGTTCAGAATACACATTTCCTATAAACATCTTGTATTTACAGAGAACATAATAATAAGTTATAGCAAAGTATATCCTTCTGTTGGGTGGATTTTGGGGGGCCAAGGGGTAGGAAGGGGGAGTTAGTGGGTGTAACAGAATGGACTTTCTCTCACTGAGGCTCATGATCTCAAGAGGCAGGGAGAAGAGGAGTTTCCACATTCTTGGGGCCACTGTCCACAGCACGATGGGCATCCCAGTGGACCGAGGATTCAGAGATGGTAAAGGATGGTTTGGGGTTGAGCTTACTCTCTGTCAGCAAGGTCTCTTTCAGGAAGGCAAGGCAATTCGTACAAATTGGAGGTGAGTGGCCCAGGCTAGTCAAGGCTGCCTCCGTGGAGGTGTATGACCCCAGGCAGGCAGACAGCTGCCCGAGTGTCTGTGTGCTCTTTTGTGAAGCAAACATATGGAGACCAGACTCTGACCGGGCTGCCAGTGGCTGCCATGTGAGGTCACGTGCTGTTCATGGGAAGAGGCATGAATAGGTTTCAAAAGGTGACAAGGTGCTGGCAGCTAGGAGCGAGGTGAGAAAGAGCAGTCACTTGCTGTCTCTGAGCAGGTGCACCTCTTGGCCACTTGGAGAGCCTAGACTCGGAGGTGACTTTGAACGGCATGTTGCCAAGGAAGATATCAGATCCCTTCCCACATCCTGACACACCTGTCCTGTCTCAGCTGCCATCTTTAAGCAGGGGCTACTGCCTCCAGTATCCCTGCACCCATAGAAGATTCTAGCTCGCAGAAGTTTGTTCTGTTTCACTCAGGGTTCTCATGGCGTTTCTTCAGCAGAGGTGACACCTCAGATGTCCCTAGAACTGTCTCTAACAGTCTGTCTTCTTTGTCAGGACTGGAAAACCCCACCTGAATGTTACATGTGAACAGCAGTCTTCCTATAGACCCATGTATCTTGACTCCCATCCATGTTTTCCCTGTGGGCTTGGTGGCTTGTGGAATGGCTTACACATAGATAAACATATGTGTGTGCACATGGAGGTCAGAGGACAATGTCAACTGTTGTCCTTCAGTGTCATCCACAATCTTTTTTTGAGACAGGGTCTCTCACTGGCCTGTAACTTGCCAAGTAGGTTGGGCTGGCCATCTAGTGAACCCCAGGGATGCACCTGTCTCTGCCTCTCCCATGCTGGGATTACAAGTGAGTAGCACCGCATCCCGCTTTTTGCATGTGGGTCTTGAGACTCGAGTCCCTCAGCACTCTGATTATTAAGCTAACTCACTAGTTCAAGGGCCATTGATATTTTGGTGCTTCCCCCCCATTTTCTTGACTCACTTTGATCTTAGTTGAAATTTTCCCTTCTCATCACTTTTCAACTATACAGTTATGCTTTTAATCCACAGGTGGCAACTTTAGCTGCTTGTCAGTGAACTGTTGAGAGCCAGCCTTTCTCTTCACTATGTATGTATGTATGCGTGCATGCTGTTGGCTCTCCAAGCTGAGGACTTCGGCCAGTTTTCTTCTAATGTTTTGTCTGGCAGGGATCAGAAGCTGGCCTCCGCCTGTGGGGCTGAGGGATCATTCACCCTGTTGTGATGCAGTCTCCTTTCATTTTGTTCCTCATATTTATATAGGAAAACTTAGTACCAACTCTAAGACAGCTATTAATAAAACAAGGAGACTGTCTTAGACAGGGGTTAGCAATATCTAGACTTCTCACACCACAAAACAAATTAAGCCAGCATCTCCCATTTTCCAGCCTTCTAGAAGGTGCTAGGTACAAATGCTTTTAAGGAGAGAGAGGGGTGGGCAAATAGATGATGTGAGGAGGGAAGACAAAACACAGAAATCTTGGGCTGACAGGAAAAGCAAAGGAGCAGTTGGGGTGGTTGTGAGAACTCCCTTCCCCAGCCACTGAGAGATGGATGGGTGAAGTACCCCCTGGCTTCTTACTAGGGTAAGCATGGTTTATGTGAAGGGAACTGCTCCCTCTAGCGGTGGGATAGCATATTTCCTGCAGGCCCTGAGAGGTAAACCGAAAGACTCCACAGGGGCTGAAAGGAAGGTTCTTTTTCCGGGGAGTGAAAGAAACAGCACACACTTTTAATTTGGAGCTTTGATGATTTTTGTTGAGAAAGGCTACACAGTAGCTTTAATTTACCTGACTGTTCCTTCAGAGCTGGGGATGTGGCCATCTGGCACACGGGGAGAATTTGTACTGAAATAAAAATTTCAATTCCACATCCGAGCCAATAAAGGGAGGGAATGTAGAGAGGCCCGAGAAGGAGATGGCAGATAAAGGATCATCTTCAGGGACCGGTGTCTCTTCCCTGGTGGTCCCGGGGTCCCCAACGCCCCTTTCCACACTATGGTAGGGAGAGAGCTATATAGGTAATGGAGCAAGCTTGGCCTCCTGTGACAAGGAGGTTACCTGACCCCATTCTAGAAATCTATAACCTTATTAAGGGGACTGAACTCCTGGGGACAGCTTTTTTTTTTTTTTTTTGGAAATATCCATTGAACTCAGGTAAGATGTTTTGTTTTGTTTTGTTTTTGCCTGAAGACCAGGGCCTGACCCCTTTGCTATGACCTACTCCCACTCTACAGTAGGATCATGTCCTTCCTAAAACTATGGGGTGACATCTGAGACACAGGATAGATAAAGCCATCATCATCCCAGCCCAGCTCTGAGAATTTGTGAGTTGGAAAGGCCAGCATGCTCGCTTTCCATAGAGAAGTTCTTTAGTTCCTGTGTCGCCCATTGTTGGGTGGCTTCAATTGCTAGAACATTTCCCTTCCCTGGAGCTAATGCCAGGCTTCATTTTAATACATGGGCCATGCATGCCTTATATTCTGACATGTACACAAACACCTTCCAAGGATTCCTTCAAATGACTGGCTTGTCCAGCAAGATCGGAAGATGGCTGCATAAAGGAAAAGTTACCTAGGACAAGCAAAAGCACACAGGGGGAGGGGTAAGGAGGCAACTGGTCAGAAACTGCTCCTGCAGGGGCTTCTCTTCCTGCTTAGCACAATAAGCATGGACTCTGCCAGGCTGTGGATCCACATGCCACATGAACATTAGGACATTAGGACATCACAGCAGAGCTGGTGATGACCATGGTGCCTGGCTTCCCAGATGGAGATAAGTTCTGGAAGCTACTCACATAAAGCCAAAGCCAGTGGATCCTGACAGAGTGAGTCAGACCAGACAGGTGACATGATTCCCATGGCTGTGAATGATTGCCACACTGGAAGGTACAGGTAATGAGCTTATGGAGGGACCCCATGCTAAGGGTGTATGCTTGCTTTATGAGGAACATGCCCAGGATCTGAAATAAGGGAAGTTCTATACATTTACAATTTTTAAGAAAAAGATCTTCTTAATTGTCTCCCCGCAACCCCTGGAGATGGTTCATTTTTTTCAATATGCACTGAATCCCTTCAGGCCTGGGGCCTCTGGAATTACAGTTGGGTGAAGTGAGTCATTGAAAATGGGGAGGACCTCAGCGCTCCTTCTCCCAGACCTGCATCATTAAAACCGATCTTGGTGGTTAAGTCTTGTGGAAGCAAGAGTCTAGAGTCACAGGGGATGGGTTGGGGAGGAATGTGAGACTACCAGAGAGAAACTCTTTAATCTACCCACAAGGGCCAAATAAGACTCCTCCTATTGAAACATGGAGATTTGCTGGGACTAGTGGCTTGGCTTTCCAGCAGGTGGTACGCCATGAAGAACCCAGGAGGGATGAGGGAACACGAGCTTGTGGGATTCGGGACTTTGTTCCAGCTGCAGAGTGGCCCAGAGACCACCTGGACACCTTCTCGCCCTCCCTGTGGCTTTCTTGTCTTGTGGGATGGTTCTGTTGAGGATGGAACTTAGCAAACACCACAGAGTCCTATCTGCAGGAGCTGTGACTGAGGGAACGGGAATAGGGGCACAGATATATTGAAAGAACTAAGGACTGTTGAGGCAGCACTTGTGGACAGAGGAAGGGCTTCAGAAGTGGGCTCTGTTCATAGAATACAACTCAGCTTCCTGGTCAGATAGGAAGCCCCGTTCATTCTTCAGGCTGTAGGTCTGTGGACAGGCCCCAGGCTGGTCACTGGAGGTGCTGTGAGGTGAGGCTATGCTCAACCACCTGAGGTAGGCACTCAGCCCTGCCACAGTTATCCCAGCTGAGCCTCAGTTTCCTTGATAGTAAAGTGGGAGCACGTATTCATCTCCTGCCTCCCATCCTGGGACACTGTGGCCTCCAGTGAGCTAATGTCTGCTGCGAGATACCTCTGTCCTGAGGCATCAGTCTGTTGTCATTAAGAATGGTGGTGACAGGCACAGCTGGACTGAGGCAACAGGGATATACAGGTCTCAGCAAGGCTTGTTGGTGATGTAGGATGGGGTGCTCTCCTCTCTTGACTTTACGAAGGAGTACGAGTTCTGGACATGCCAATAGAACCAGGAAGGAGGCTGTGCTTGGTCAGTGGTCCAGCTACTGACTTGGGCAATAGCAAGCCTGAAGCTGGGATGAGAGCTGTATGCATTTGACTGCTTGCTTTTCAGTAGGCACCATTAGCAGGTGACAGGTCCCAAGGAAGGGAGTCATCATGACAGAGCCATGGCTTTCTAACATCCTGGGTACCATGTGGTAGGTACCCTTTATGAAGGTGAGAGTGGGGACGGACTTCCCCTGGTAGAGCAGCAACCAGCCAGGTGTACTGCTTGCAGTCCCAGGAGAGCAGAAGTGTTATCGACTCCCCAGGAAGCCTGTGTGTCTGTTGGCCACGCGGGTGCAAGAGGCACAGCAGGCGGTCTTGTAGTAGTTGTAGACACAGAGGCGCGCCTGGACCACCACATTGCAGTTGTAGTACTTATCCTTGCAGTTTTCATCTACAGTGGAAGAGAACAGAAGAGATTCCTGAGCCCAAGAGGCAGCCAAGACCAGAGGGAAGAGAAAACGTGGGGGACACAGCGCTTCATCTGGGCCCTGCTTCTATCTATGTGTCTGTGCGAGCCTGAGTGAGCACGTGCAGAGCCCAGAGGAGGATGTCAGGGATGGGTTTTGTTAGGGCTCAGTAGAAGTGGGAAGGGGGTGAGAGGGGATAATGAGGGAGTGAAAATGACCCCCAAATATTATATATGTATATGAGCTTGTCAAAGAACAATAAAGAAAAAGACATATGAAAAATAAGTTAAAGAGCAATTGAGGAAGTTATCTGACTTTTTGGCTGCACACACACACACACACACACACACACACACGCACACACAGAGAGAGAAAGAGAGAGGAGAAGAAAAGAGTAGAGAGAAAAGAAGTATTTGTTCAAGAATATCCAAGGGGAGGGGGCATGCCTATAATCCCAGCACTTGGGAGGCTGAAGCAGGAGGACCAGTAGTCCAAGGTCAGCCAGGGCAGCACAGTGAGATGCTGTCTTAAAATAATAATAATAATAATAATAATAATAATAATGTAGCCATCATGATGAAGGGATAGGACAGGGATGATGAACGTCAAATTTGAAGATTTCTACCCATAAAGACGTAAGGAGACAGAAGAAAATGATCATAGAGGGTACCTATTTTTATGTCTTGTTAAAATGAGTTTAACTGGGTGCTGCTCATATGGACACAGGTATGGGGTTATTTACCAGAGCACAGGCAACTTAAAGTGGCTACACCACCTAAGAAGGTGACTCCTCCCCCAGCCACCATGAGCACCGATACACAGCTCCTTGGCTACTCATGGGTTAGGGCATCACTAGTCCTTCCTCCTTCACATAGTCTTCTGGCCATTGAGCCAGGACCTCATAGAAGGGCTGGTCAGCAAGCTTGTCTCCACCTCCCCAGAGCTGGGGTGACAGGCATGTGCCACTGTACCCAGTGTTCACGTGGGTGCAGGGATCCGAGTTCAGGTCCTCATGTTTGCACAGCAGCCACTTTTCCCACTGAGCCTTCTCCCCGGCCTGTGAATATTTCCTCACACTTGAGCTGTTTGTGATGGTGTCCTTAACCATGGCGTGGTATCTAATCTTAAGAAAATGTAGACACTACACATAGTTCCTGGCCACTTATTTGACACTGAGTCTATACATTCATTTTTATTATTGGGGAAGATGTCCTTGTAAATATGTAACTTATCCATTTTCCATTGGTAGATATTCATTCCCATTTTTTCCAGTTATAAATAATAATCTTTTAAGCATTTTTTTTAAATAAAAGTCTTCTTTCTGGGTTTTGAGATACATACAGCATTACTAGATGTGATGGTTGCCTTTCAAAGTATGTGCTTCCAAAGAAGTACAAATTTGTACTTCTCTTGGCAGAGCAGCAGAATTCCATTTTTTTTTTCCTTTTTGACAGGGGGATGGGAAGAAGACAGGGTCTCATGTAGCCTCAGCTGGCCCTGATACCGGAGGATGGCGTTGACCTCCTGATCCTCCTGCCTCCATCTCCCAGGTGTGTGCCACCATAGCTGGTTTATGCACCCCCAGATCAGCAGATGCTGTATGTTATCTATTAGTGGATGCAAAATGATCCCAGCGTGAGGCGGAACACACTGTCACGGTGTCTGCCACTGGGCTCCCTTTGCTGGACCAGCTGTCCTTTGTGCTGTGGACTCATGAAGTCCTCTCTATGCAATGGATCCAAAGCTTTACTGGTTCCTGTGTTGTAAGGATCTTCTCTGGCATGCACTCCTTTTTGGAACTTCCTATGTGGTGCCAGGTGATAAGCAGATAGCTGACATTTTAACGTTATTGGAATTCCAGCATTTTCCCTTGTGGTTTGTGCTCTGGGGTTTTCATTTAAGAAATTCTCCCCTACTCTTAGAGAAATTTGTTTTTCCTCTATCTTAAAATAAAGACAGAAGACGAAAAGGAAGGCAGAGGGTAAGAAAGAGGCATGAGAGCACACTTGAAGCATGTCATAGGAAAATGTGTTATAATTAGTAGGAAGGACTCTGCAGGCAGGAGGCTTCAGAATAAATATTGATAGAATTCCCATGAATGGATCATGCACGCAAGCTATTTTTTTTATTTGCCTTGGCAACACCACACAGTTGAAGTGATTTAAATTTGGATCGTCAATTGTTTCTTCTATTGCTCTTTACAAAGTACAACATCAAAAAGTAAAGTTGTCTCAGGCACACAGACATGGGTAATTAAAGATGGTGAAAACTGTCATGTCCTTGGAATTGACTGTGATAGTTTCAAAGCAAGGACTGTCTGCCATAACCATTGCATGTATTCTACAAACCATCTCTCAGGCAGTACATGCTTGCAAAAGATTTCTCACTAATAAGATATGAGAGGGGTTTTTGTTTCTAAAACAGGTCTGTATGTGTCCCTGGCTGGCTTTGAAGTTGATATGTAGGAGATGATGACCTTGATCTTCTGAGTCTCTTGCCTGTACCCTGGAGGGTTAGAATCACAGGCACTCACCACCACGCCTGGTTTCTATGGCACTGGGATCAAATCCAGGGCTTTGTGTATGGCAGACAAGTGTTCTGACATTGAGCCCCAGCCATGATTTTTCTTTAAAAAACATTATGGTTTGGTCTTCTAGATTTAGCTATGCTGTCTTTTCAAAGGGGGGGGCATTTCACTTCTAATATAAAATTGAATAAAGGGAAAGAAAGGGGTAACAAAATAGAATATATAAACAAAACTTTGATGACCTTTGATATGTCTCAAAATGACTCTGCCAAAGATAAAGCTGCTAACAATGTCCAGACCGGGAGCCCACATTATGAAACTCAGAGGACATCCCAGTGGGCTGTAGTCTTAAACTATGAAATTATAATATCCAAAGTACCACGAGGACCCTCCCCTCCACCCCCTGCTCATTGCCATGGCTGTCACAAGGCCACAGAGAGAACTTGACAGAGCTTCCTCTTTTCTCCCAGATGGGAGCTCCAAACTCACCAACTTCAGGGACACAGTCCTGAGGGTTACAAGATTCTCTCTCTTCTGGTTTTAACTGGGGGTCGCAGAGGCTACCTGGGGTCATGTCATCAGACAAACAGCGCACTTCCCGGACCCGGAATCCTCCCTGACAGCTTTTGGAGCACTGGGTAGCAAAAAAGAGGGAAAACATCAGGTTTCTCATCAGCCTGTAGGAATCCCACACCAGAGTGGAAGGTCAGGGGGAAATGTAAGCATCTCTAAAAGGGAAACTGAGCACTAAAAAGCACCTCCACATGCCTGCTGACCAGCACCCAGCAGCTCACGACCTTGTCCTGTCTGTCCTGACACTTCCTCTCCTTGTAGTGTTTTGAGGGAGTTCTGGACTCCCATCACAACTTCCATAATATTTTAATTTATAGCTCCAGAAAAGTACCATGTGATAGTTTATTACAAACCTATATATTAGCGATTTTCGTTGTGTGTGTGTATGTGTGTTTGGAGACAGGTTTTTTGGAACCTGTTCTGGAACTTGTTTTGTAGACTGGGCTGGCCTTGAATTCACAGAGAGCCTCCTACCTCTCCCTCTTGAGTGCTGGGATTAAAGGTATTCACCATCACCACCGAGCTACTATTTTTTTTTTAATTTTATGAATCTTATCAATTTTAAAAATAGTTTTTCTTTTCTTTAAAAATCAGGGTCAAGTTGGAGGGAAGTAGAGATAGACAGATTTTCAAGTGATAAATGAAAAGCATTATTTAAAAAAAAACTAAACAAAACGGGGCTGGAGAGATGGCTCAGAGGTTAAGAGCACTGGCTGCTCTTCCAGAGAACCCAGGTTCAATACCTAGTACCTACATGGCAGCTCATAACCATCTATAACTCCAGTCCCAGGAGACCTGATGGCCTCTTCTGTGGGTACTGCATGTAAGTGGTATACAGACATACATGTAGGCAAAACAACCATACATGTGAGATAAAAAAATAAGCAAAAATTAAAAAATAATAATAACAAAAATCTTAGGATCCATATCTCAGTTACACTTTGCAGTTGGTTGATAATTTTATGATCCTTAATCTAAACCCACAGATCTTACTTCCATTGTCTTATGCTTGTTTATTTTTAATTTTTAAAAATTACAACACTTTTTCTTCAAGACAGGGTCTCACTATATAGCCTTGACTGGCCTGGAACTCACTATATACACCAGGCTGTCCCTAAACTCCCAGAGATTGCCTACCTTTGCCTCGGGAGTGCTGGGATTAAAGGCATGTGCCACCACTGTGCCTAGCTCTCTACTTCAATTTTGAGATAGGATCTCTGACTGAATCTTAAGCTCAGTGTTCAGCTAGCCTGACTGGCCAGTGAGCCCCAGGGATCCTCCTGTCTCTCTCTCCCCAGTGCTGGGTTGCAGGTGTCTGCTGCTGTGCCTGCTTGCAGTGTAGCATGGTAAGCATCATCTCTGAGTCCCTTCAACAACCATTCTCTGCAGCAATGCTTATCTAGCTACAGCACAAGGACACCTGTATCCTCCTTGTTAAATGCACAGATTTCTTTGCCAGGAGCGGCCCAGAATTGGCCTTTTAAAACAAGACCCCCAGATATACCCTAAAGGTCAAGAATCACTGCATTATGAACACATCTGTGTAGAAACCCAGATCCTAAAGCTTCAGGGTTCCCCGACTGAATAGAGTCCCCTCACCGTGACTACCTAGAGTAGATTGATATGACAGGGGATCTATCGCCTCTTCTAGGGTTGGGACCAGGACCCTGCCTGGAGTCATCTGTGGATGACTGTGACTTACCATGCTCCATTCTGTGCTAAACCACTTAGCTCCACAAGGCTTGAGGTGGCAGGCCTGCTGGCTCGGGGGCCTCTCCAGGAAGGAACACTCATAAGGGTCTAGCACTTCAAAGGTGTCTGCATCCTTCCTAACACAGATCACTTCCCTCTGCTGTGTCCCACTGCCACACTCCACGGAACACTGGAGAAGAAACAGATGGGTGTCACGTGATGCAAAGGGGGAAGAAAACCACGTTCCTGGAGGGACATCTTCAATTCTTCCACTGAGGCAGATGAAAAAGACCAAGCAAGACAGAATATACAAGAATAGAAGTTGGCAAAGATGCTGGTAAAATCCATTGTTGATGAGGAATAGGGGCGGGAGAAATGGCCCAGTGGATACTAGTGAGAAGATGTGAGTTCAGACCCCCAGCATCCATGTCAAAGGCTGGCTGTGGCTTTTAGTGCTGGGAGGCAGAGACAAGGAGGACCCTGGAGGCTTGCTGCTGGTCAGCCAGGCTAGATAACTAGTAACTAGTGAACTCTAGGATTAGAGAGAGAACGCCTCAAAAAAAAAAAAAAAAAAAAAAAAAAAAAAAAGATGGAGGAGGAGACATTGACATTGGTCTGATTGGTCTGTCTGCTGGCCCCGACAATGTGCTGGTGCAACTGATACTTGACCTGAACTGCAGCCCTGCTTGTGGGACTACATCAGCACCAAGAGTCAGAGAAGATGGGCCAGGGCCTCAGTGGGTTCTCAAGGACATGGGGGGGGGGTCTGCAGGAATGGCAGCAGCCACACACTCATGGTGCCCTCTGCAGCACCCTGTCTTTTCCACTCCCCTACTGCATGTCTCCCTGGAGGGCGGTGCTGTACCCACTGCTCAGTTTTGATCTGGACTTAGACCTGCTTCCATCCGGTTTACTGTCTCATGTCTGCTGTCTGAGTGTGGGCTATAGACACAGATTCTTGGCACGTGGTTAGGGACAAAGGCATGGCACAGCTGCCAGGTGAACAATTAAAAGACTCAGAGAGAAGAGATCTAATTTTGACTACGTGTTTCCCCACTGCCAGCCATGGGTGACACCCCATGTGACCTGACCCTTAAGTTCTCTGTGACAGATAACCTTGGCTGTCAACTTGACACAACTTCAGCTGAAGCGTTGCCTCCATCAGATTAGCTTGTGGGCATTTTCTTGAGCATTAGTTCTTGAGCATCAGCACTGTGGGTGGTGCTATCTCTAGGCAGGTGGACCTGTGCCTGAGGGAGCCAGTAAGCGGCAGGCCTCTGAGGTTTCTGCCCTGACTTCCTTCAGTGATGGCCAGTTACCTAGATGCATGGGATGAAATGGACACTCTCCCTGCTAAGTTGGTTTTAGTCAGAGGTTATAGCCTCAGGAAGAGCAGGGTACCTTCTGACAGCCCAAGGAGAGTGTCATTGTCCTCTATGTACTGAGAAGGAAACAGACTCAGGAAGGTGAAATTACCTCCCCGAGTCAGGAGTCCCATGAGACTGGAGTTGACTTCAGTCACATAGCCATCCAACAGGGACTCTCATGAAAGCAGCACTGGAAGGACTTCAACCCATTCTCTCTTTTGAATTTTACAGATTTTTAATCAAAACATTAAAGAAAATAAAAGAGGAAAACATTTCCCCATGCTGTTTACATAAAAACAATTCATTGAAATAGTTGAGACTATATATATAATATATATTAATTATATTAATATTATTAATTATATCATTATATATTATATATTAATTATATTAATAATATTAATGAATATATAATTAATATATTAAATATATATTATGTATATATATTATATATTAAAGCAGGTGCCACATAGCTCAAGCTGGCCTTGAACTCCCCATGTAGATAAGGATGATCTTGAACTTCTCATATTTCTGCCTCTACTTCCAAGTCCTGGGATTACAGCATGTACAACATGCCTGATTTTATGTAGTGCTGAGGACTGAACCTAGGGCTTCATGCCTGTCAGTCAAATTCTCTGCCAACTGAAACACATCTCCAATATATATATATATATATATATATATATATATATATATATATATATATTATTGTATGTGTATGTGGGTTTTACCTGCATGTATATATGAGCACCACCTGAGTGCCTGACACCCACAGAACCAGAAGAGGGTGCCAGATCCCCTGGAACTGGAGTTAAGGATAGTTGTGATCTACCATGTGTGTATTAGGACTACAGCAGAGCAACAGTGCTCTTCCCTGGTGAGCCATCTCCCAAACATCCCTCCAGCCCAGGTTCTACATTTTCAAATTCTGTCATTGGCTACTGTATTATGTACATATAGAACACCCTAATTACCATTGTTACTTATATATATTCATATATTTGAGTATATGAATGTGAATATTCATGAATATATATATATATATATATTTGAGATAGCATCATGTGTAGATGAGACTGCCTCTTGAGTGTTGGGATTACAGGTGTATCACCATCCCTGACTTGATTGTTGTTATGGTTACAGGTGTGTCTCACTGTCCCTGACTATTGTTATAATTGTGATATTTTACTGGGTAATGACAAGTGATAACATTCTGAGGTCATGAGCATTCCTGTTGAAGAAGTATTTTTTTCTTTGGGTAATTTTTTTTTTTTTAAGTTTTAAAACTATATGTAGTCCTGGCTCTCCAGGAACTTACTCTGTAGACCAGGCTGTCCTCGAACTCACAGAGATCTGCCTGTCTCTGCCTCAGAATGCCAGGACTAAAGGTACATGCCACCATACCCAACTGATGATTACTTCCTTAAAACTGCCCCCAGGGTGGGGTGACAGGGGAAAAACAAATGGGAATTTTCTGCCTCCTGCCCTTTGCTGTCGGCATGCTTTCCAAAGGGCCCGTATCAGTTACAGCCAATTTGATCAAGCTGTTTTCAAAGCTACTTGAAAAAAAATTCTCCATGGAGCCAGAGTATGGATAATGTGTAAATCATGACCTTCCGCCAAAAAGGCCTTGGAGAATCAGCCAGCCGTGGGAGCCAGATGCTAAGTGGGCCAAGAACTCCAGGGAGGTGGTGGAATGGGTGGAGTACGGGCTGTGATGGGCCAGTCAGAGGGATGGCTCTCTGTACTCCTCAGGGGTTCATGTTCAATGTTGGACCGGGGAGGAAAAATTAGCTCATCAGTTTGTAAGTTACTTTAGCTTCTTTGTTGTTTGCTTTTTATAATGTACACTTACAGTCTGAAAACAAAAAAGTCTATGCGTATGATGTATGTGTATGTGTGCAGGCAAACATGTACCATGGTGCATGTGTAGAAGTCACACAAACTTGTATGTTGGCTCTCATATTCTACTTCAAGGCAGCATTTCTTGCGGTTCACTCTGTGCATTTCAGGCTGGCTGGCCTGCAAGCCTCCGGGAGTTCTTCTGTGTCCATCCCCTATCTCAACTGAGAGTCCTGCGGTCACAGGTGTGTGCCGCCATGTCCGGCTCTTACATGGGCTCTGGGGTGTCTAAAGCCAGGCCCTCATGCTTGTGCAGCACACACTTTACCTACTGAGCCACTCCTCAGGCCCCACCTCCAGATTGTTAAATGGTAGCTTCTGACGTTGTCAACTACTGACAAAACCAGCGTTAGTTATGGTAGCCATATGGTGTCGATGTGGCAGCAGCGGCCACCTGCTGCATTTACTATATGTCTGGCCCTTGACTACTCATGTTCATTCCCCGAGGCAGAGATACGTGTTTTGTTCACAGACGTAGCTCAAGTGCTTCAGTGAGCGCACACTAGATGCACCTGTTGGCTGGAGGCGGCGATAAGAACGTGGCAGCTCTCCTGGGTCATGACAGGCAGTGAGTAGCAGGGCCAGGTTCAGAGCTGGTTTCTAACCCTTCTGCTATGTTGTACAGACAGATGTACCCAGCTCTGGCCACTCACCTGACTCCAGCTGCCAGCAAACCACTCCACCTTGCCCGTGCAGGGCCCATTGTCACACGGTGTAGTCTCTGCTGGTCTGTTGTTCCCGCAACCTTCCAGAGGTAGGCTGCTGACATGGTTGGTCATGCACACCACCGAACGAGTCCTCACGCCAGCCCCACACTCGGCTGAGCACTGTCAGACAGAAGGAGGGCATGTGAGTGGGGCCCCTGCAGGTTCTGGGGATACTTCCAAACGATACCAAGGACTTACTGTCCCTCTAACTCTTTCCTCTGTAAATAGCTGACAACCTCTCTCACACATGACATACTTCCATGACAGGAAATATTACCTAGTACTTTTGCCTTCTATAGTTTTATTAACTCAAGGGTGCTGGAGAGATGGCTCAGCAGTGACTAACGCTCCAGCTGGGTATGGTGGCACATAGCCTTTAATCTGAACACTTGGGAGGTTGAGGTGAGGCAAGCCTGGTCTAGCTAGGCCAGCCTTGGCTACATAAAGAGACACTGTATCAAAACACCAAAAACAAAACAAACTAACCTCTTTGGTGGAATCTTATGAGGACAAATTAGACATTATCACCCTGGGAAGGAATCAACTGTGGGATTCTGAGCTACCAGTGTCTCTGGGTGGCTCTGGGAGAGCCTGTGACCCAGATGACCCCTGCCAGTGGCACACTCACCCTTTCACTCCATTCTGTCAGGAACCAGCTCTTGGCACAGGGCCCCATGTCACAGTTCTCAATGTCACTTGGCCGGAGTTTCATGTTGCACTCCTCGTCATCCACCACGTCTCCGATGTTGCTCACACACTTCACGTCTCGGGTCCGCTGCCCCACGCCACAGGGCACTGAGCACTAAAACACAGAGGGCTTCGGTGTCATGTCCTCATTCTTTGTCACCTGACCACAGCAGAAGATGTGAGAAGGACCCTGTTGTTGGGTCCCCTGCAATGCCTGTAACTCCTCAGGGAGGGAATGATCAAGGAAAACTCCATGGCCTACTCCTCTAAGAACTTTCTTGGATGGCATCTTGTTTACTGGCCTGCTTATGGCCCCAGCCTTTCCATCTCTGGGATGGCTGCACAACACTAGAAGGTGCTGGCTCTCCTAGCAGTTGCCAACCTTCTCTTAATACATGTGAGACACAAGGCAGGTGAAGTGTGCAGGCATAGGACTCTTACAGGATAACCCATGAGGCCAGACATAGGCCATGTACACTAGCCTGAACTCTACTGAGCTGTTGGCATGAAATATGTTTGCAAGCAGCTGTTCAGCAAATGTTCCCCACCTTAGCCATCACAGGTCCTAGCACAGGGAAGGGAGAGAGCAGGGTGGGGGGGTGGGGGTGGGGTGAAGGGGGAGGTCCTGTACCGAGGTCCAGTCGGTCCGAATCTGCCACTCGCTGCAGATCTTGAGCTGGCAGGTACTGGTGGTCTCAGGCTTCTCCAGGTGCTGGCAACGGTAGGGCTGTACTGTCAGGCTGCGGTTGGCGTACACCTGGCGGCACAGGACCTGTCGGTGCTGCATGCCCAGGCCACAGGTTTTGCTGCACTCAGACCACTCCCCGATGTCCCAGCTGGCTCATGGAATGGGTTGGGGGAGGTAAGAGGGGAGAAGACTGGTTAACAGGAATACATAGCAAAATCATTGGGGACCCTCTCCCCAGAGCAGTGCCTAAAGGCCATGTGACTGTAGGGAGCCTATAGGACATGCTGTTTACCATGACTAGACCACCCAGGTTCTGTACACAGTTATAGAAAGAGTGAGAAGGTACAGAAGGCATTCTCTGCTGTCCACTATTTCCATGCCCTAATCTTGACAATTACTGAATGAGACACGATCAGGCATTCAGCAAACATTTGGATAGAAACTATATTTTTCTTTATTCCAAGGATCAAGCTTTGACCTTTTTTTGGCACCTGTCCCAATCTGTATAAGACAGTCTCAATTATCACTCAATAACCTGTTGCTAACCTCTCCCGGACACTCTTCCTGGCTCTTCCAAGCCGACTTGGCACCATCTGTCCATATACTCAGCTCACCTACAAGCTGCCTCACTGGGTTCTCGCTCCTATGGCCTCCCTTGTTTTCCTGGATGGGATTCCTGGCTGAGCTTGATGACTTGCTGCAGACCATCAATTCCCCAGTCCTTCCAGAAACACAGGCAGGCTCGCTAAGCGGTCCATCTCCTGGACACTGTCCCAGTCAGTATTTACACACCAAATTTATACTGAGTTAAAAAAAATCAACTGTATCTGCTACTAAGGACCGGAGGAAAGGTGACCTAGCCAGAGGGGCCTCTTACAAGGCTGGGCAGGGGAAGAGGTTGCAGGGTTCCTCCTCTGGGGTCGGCTTCATGCTGGAGTCACAGTAGCTCTCGGGAACCTCCTCATGTGTGTTTCTGTTCACACAGCGGAAGATCGGGTATTGTGAACCTGTAATGACAAGCAAGATGCCTGAAGGCCAGCCCACACCCTGGGATGCTGGGCCAAGGTAAAGTTGCACAGGCATTTGGATGCTGGTGAAGAGAAGGTACAGGACTATCAACTCCAAGTCCTATCCCTTCATCTTGTTTGTTGATATAGACATACCCACATGGCCCTGCTGGGGGGTGTGGCTGTGCAAAGGACACACACACACACACACACACACACACACACACACACGAGTTCTTGTCCCCAGTGAGCTTACAATCTATTGTAAAAGGAATATAAAACAATTTTTTTATAGTTGATCAAGATTATATGAGATGTGGTTGGGAAAATGGCTCAGTCAATTAAGCCCCTGTATAAGGACCCATGTTAAATCCCTAGCAACTGTGAAAAATCAGGCATAGAGGTACATGCTGAGAATCCCAGAGTTGGGGAGGGGAGGTGGACGGAGCTGGCTGGATTCCTGGAGCTGGCTGGACAGCCACCTAGCCTCATTAGAGAGTCCTAGGTTCCAACAAGAAGTCCTCTCTCAAAAACAAGGGGGATGACCTTCCTGAAAGATGACAGCCGAGGCTGTCTCTGATACCCACACACATATGCACATATGTGCACCCATGAACATATGTATATGTGTATATACACATGTACATACAAGCATGTACACATACATATACACACAGAGAGACAGTAAAAGTGCTCACTAGTCAATGGAGCAAGCATAGAATCGTCACAAACAGAAACTTTTCCAAGATTTCCCAGAGGTGTCATGGAGCAAATACCCTGAAGGGTCTAGCGGTGGATAGAGAAATGTTTGGATGTGCCTGTGCACGTGTGTCAGGGAAGGGGGCTGTCCACTGGGCTAATGTGCAATGAACTTGCCTGCTACCCAGATGCACATTCACACAAGAGGTTGGAGCAGAGGAGATTCAAGAACTACAGACACACATTTCACACAATCCTCTAACAGTTTCCTGACCCAGGGGCTTGGTCTTCTCAGCATCTGCCAGCTTCCCATGAGGCCATGTTTCTCAGGACAGGGCACCTCGGTAGCCCGAGTGCCTAACAGAGGTCTAAGCTTTTAGTACTTTTTTTTTTGGAAAACTAGTAACTGATTTATGTTTTTGTTTTGGATACACAGACTAGTTTCATTGCCTTAATAAGGACAAACTATTTTCTAGAAAAAGCCAGTGGTGGGTAATTTCTGGGTCTCAATTCAATTTTGTCTTTCTCTCCTCTGCCACCTGCTGGCAGAACTTGAGTATTACTGGTGCTGCTATGCAGTGGGAGTAACTGTTGGCCCTACAAACTAGGCTAACATACAACTCTTATTTAAAAATTACCCGAGCTTCTAACTAGTCAGACATTTTTCAGGAACTGTAACTCACTATAGTTTTAACTGTGCCATGAAAAGTAACGTTGTTCTTTTACAGTGTCTTTTAAAAAATCTTTTATTTAGTCTGTTCTTTGGCAGTTTCATCCACCCACATAGTGGGCTCTGATCACTTCCGCTCTCACCCTCTCACCCCTGTTATCACCTGCTGCCTAGAGGGAATCCATGACTGGTACTATAAATCCAGTTGAAAACCCCTGGCTAAGAGGTGTTAGATTCTAGGGTAACTTACTACTGTTCTGTGTCACCTCTAAAGTGACAGAACACCAAGCTGCATTCCAGACACGTACGCTTACACCCACAAGCAAATGCTACTCTCTGTCTTAGTCAAAAACGTCCCTTTGTGACGAAAGGCAGGGGATGCAGATACATGACTGCTCAAGAGACTGAGAGGAAGTGATGGTCCAGTGCCCAGACATAAACTTTTAACGTAAATGCTTCAGTGGCATTAGTCATGGGTGTGACACGGGGCTCCTTCAAGCTGCCCTTGTGTGATACCCTGAGTCAGGGGGTAGTTTGCATAAGAAATGTGACAATTTGCAAGAGAGTTTTGAATCAGAGATCATCATCTGTTGAAATTACTGTGGCAGTAAAGATGCACATACAGCTATTACTCAAGTGTTTAAAATGTTCCAACTAAGTCTAAGTATTAGCTGAGTGAAAGGCAATTGTGACCATAAAATTAATAGCAAACAAAGCCTTTTTTGGTATAAATCTTTGTTCAGCAACATGCCTACATCCACTTTAGAAGATACATTTTACTAAGCATCTTTAAGATTGATATATTTTTATGTGTACGGGTATTTTGGCTGCGTGTATGACTATGCACCACTTTTGTGCAGTGGCCACAGAGGCCAGAAGACTGTGTCAGGTTCCCAGGAACTGGGGTTACAGACAGTTGTCAGCAGCCATGTGGGTGCTGGAAAGTGAACTTGGATCCTCAGGAAGAGCAGTCGGTGTTCTTAACTGCTGAGCCATCGCTCAAGACCTAGGAGATATTTTTAAATTAAATCCAACCCACATTAAGCACATTGTGCTAAGTCACCAAGATGAATAAGACTCATTCCACAGCCTTAGCATTTGAAACCCAGCTATTAGGGGATTAAGTAAAGATTTTAGCTAGTCTGCTCCTTTTCCTCCAGACTGTATGGCTATAACTTTTCCACTTACAACTCTGTGGATTGAAAAGCAAGGGTAAGATACCCCAACTGCTTGGCACCCACAGAGGGGAAACCGAATACACTTAGCCCAAATGACACAGGATACTGTAGGAATGCTCTGTGCCTGGAAAGATGGGTCTTGCTTGGGGTTGTCTGGCAGATGGCCACCGCTTACCTTCCCTCCCATTTGACTGCTTTTACATGCATTGCTCATTGTCCATGGTCCAGCTTCATGGAACAGTACCAAATAAATGAAATCAGAGGCTCTTTGTCTATCTGATGCTGAAAAAATATCAGCTTTATAACTCTTGCTTCTGGTGATGGCAATAGTTTCTTTCTTTGGGTTAGCTTTAGCATCTACAGAAAGTGATATTGTCACTTGGCATGTCACCTGGAGTCCTATTGTTCAGGACTTCGATGCAATGGTTCCTCTGACTGCTAACAAGCAGGGGAAAGGTGGCAGGGCAGGTGCTGGCTGGACTTTGGTGGCAGGATGGTTGTCCTGGTTTGTATGCAGGCATATTGTGGTGGATGTACTGGAAAGGGAACAGAGCTTGGGGAACAGTGTTGAGGTCTGTGAGACACACTAACCTGAGAGTTAGACAAAAGAAGCAGCAAGAAAATAATCAGGTAACTGCAGACTTGGAAATATAAGAACTAACAGAGCCAAGCCAGGAGACAAGCAGAGGTGTGGGCATCATGGCTGACAGCCACAGCGATCAAGGGCCACTCTTGGGTACCGTCCCTCGAGAATGACGTGTTGGGTGCTAGGATGTTGCTGAAATGGTCGATGTAGAGGTAAGAAGTACAGGTGTGGTCAGCTTCACCAGGGAGGATGGAGGGTGTCTGGGAGGGCATTTGTGTGGGACAGATAATGGTCTCTCTTGGGTTTTGTAGCAGAGGAGTACACAGTGCCAGCACACTTGTCACTTGTGCTGAGGACTGAGTTTAGCTACATGCTTTGTGCATTTGCATTGCACTGCCCATGCCCTGCATGTCTGCTGTCATCACTCTTATGGGGGCACAGGGTTCCAGGTGTGCCCCTCCTGTGGCTCTGGAGCCAGAGATATTCTGAAGAGGTGCCTTGAAAATCAAGCATAAGTGGAGATGCACTTCTTCTTCTCCCAGGGGACAGACAGCAGGAGCTGGTGAATGTCCCCTTTGCTCCCTCCAGCAAGCATTTCCCACCTTTTGATGCTATGCCACAATATTGTCATCTACAAAGTTCGTGCTCAAGAGCCTCACAATCAAGTTCAAAATAACATTTATTTTGTTCTAAATAAGTTTACAACTTTTGTCTTGAGCCACATTCATAGCTACCTTTTGCTACTTACAGCCCCTGGCCACAGAATGTTTCTCCATCATGTCTAGTACAGAATGGAGAGGGGCCTGTTGAATAACCACCTGGACAGGCAAGAAGCACCCATCCAGGGAACAGTGGCAGGGTTACATACTTCTGCCTTTGCCTCACCACACCCACAAATCAGTATCCTGTAGTCTCTGGACAGAGTGGGAAAGAATCTACATGCGTCATTCTGGATTGCAAATCATATAATGACAATTTTCATCCAAGCTATCTGGGCACCACACCAAATCATAAGTGGCAGGAGAGTTGGAAAATCATCCATTTGCATCTCATGTTCCTTTGTCAATACTGAGATACCCTGCTTATCTCTATGATGCTTTGGATAAAATCTTATTAAAGTAATTCTGGCCCTTTGGCAGAATTATCTCAAGCTGTCTGACTCTGTCAGGACACAGTCTACAGGTATCTCATTTCCCTTCAGAAACCTAACAGAAGCCAGTTCAATCTTCAGGCCATATTCTCGGCTCATGTAGCCTGAGCACAACAAAATGGGTGCAATAAGAGCTCATGAATTAATCCTCCAATTACCAGGTGGAACCATTGTAGACTCATCAAGGCTTTGAACATAAAGAACTTCAGCCCCTGCTTTGCCCCTGTACACACAAAGAACCAAAGACCTAAATTCTAGTCCCAAAGCCATTAGGCCAGTACTCTTATGAGAAAGATAGAAGCAGCTATCAGAGGTTTCTGTTTGTGCTAACTATTAAACTTGCAAAGTTCGTGTGTGTGTGTGTGTGTGTGTGTGTGTGTGTGTGTGTGTGTGTGTGATGATGATGTTACATGTGTGTTACATGATGATAATCTGGGGCATTGGTCCTTGTTTCCTATCTTGTTTCAAACAGTTTTCCTGCATTGTTTCTGCTGTGTAGGCCAGGCTAGCTAGTTTGGGAGCTTCTGGGAGTTTTCCTGTCTCTCTGGGAGCCTCCCATCTCTCTGAGGGTACTGAGACTGACTATGCTCATGCTGCATGTCCCACTTTGCTTGGCTTTGGGGACCTGAATTCAGGTCTTCATGCTTGCATAGCAAGTGCTCTTACACACAGAACCATCTTCGCAGCTCAGACTCAAGTCTCTTGAAGAGAAAACAAAACAAAAATCAAAAAATCTAATCGCCAAACTAATGTCTGGGGTAAATCACATGGTCTTCCAGGTTTTAGAAACTGTGGGAGATGGTGGCGGTGGAGAGTAAGGGACACAAAGCCTTTGTGTTTATAGTATCGTCCCTTCAGAGAACAACCATTTCAGGGTAATGACAGCTAAGATGCCCTCATCTTATATAGGGAGAAGACTATAAGTGTGCAGTAAACCGGCGTTTCCTTGTTAGGAGGATCTCAAGTCACCCCCAAAGAGTCAGGGTCAATTTCCAGCCCCAGGAGCCTGACAGCCACACAAGGATTTCCAGAGTTCACTTTCCCCGTTGATCCTGACTGTGGAGTGGCTGCCAGAAGGACCCTGGATCTGTGTTACAGTCTAGACCTGATGTGGATCCCTTCACACATGTCACATTCCATATAAAACAACAGTCATGGTTTTCTTTGAGCCTATCAAAACACCATTTTTAAAAATGTCACTGAAACTCCGCCCTTTCCCTCAGTCCTATCTTCCTTTTGCTCTGAGAGAGGCTACATGCTTCCTCCAGCACATGGGCTCCTTTCTTGCAACAGTTAATAAATATGACATTGGTAGGCTAGGGATTTTTCTCTGGTGGTGCTAGCTGACTGGGTTAGGACACTGGATGAACCTGGGATTAATTTTTTTTTTTTTTTATCAGGAGGATAGGAAAGGAATAGACAAAGATGAAAGCTGATGAGCAAAACCCAAAGGTGTTGTTTCTCTCTGAAATCTTTAGATTTTAGGACGGCTCACACCAGCCATTTATAAGCTTGATTTATAAACCGTTAGATTGCTAAGCATGTGGGTATGTTCTCACTGTTGGCAACCACAAGCACAGGGAGAGCTCAACGAGAAGGCCCACGTTGCTCAGATGCTGTGTTGGTTGTTTTTTTTTTAGCTGCCTGTCTTTGTTGAGGTACTTCAGGGATGCAACCTTGGGGCATGGTAACACTCTGCCTGAAGGGACAGAGGCCCTTCTCGCCATTCCTTCTGCCTGGCTAAAAAGTTAGATCCATTCCTAAAGCTAGCTTCTAAGGTCTAGTCCCTTATTTGGCCACTTCCTCCTGAGCCTCATTACCAAGGTCCAGCTATCAAAGTATTGAAGTACAGCAATCAAAATCCCCCTTTGGCTCACCTAATTAACAAGTCCAATCAAAATATACCACCACATCCTGGCCAATACTAACACAGATCTCCCCTTTTGATCTTCTTACAAACTGTCTGGCCGGGCAGTGGTGGTACACCCTTAATCCCAGTGCTTGGGAGGCAGAGACAGTCAGATCTCTGTGAGTTTGAGACCAGCCTGGTCTACGAGAGCTAGTTCCAGGACAGGTTCCAAAGCAATACAGAGAACCCTGTCTCTAAAACACCCAAACAAAACAAAACAAAACAACCAAACAAATTGCCTGAGTCAGAAAGCAGCCTCTTTAACTTTTCTTCCCTGTTTAATAAAGGATCTCTCTGTGAAGACAGGTGTTTGGGTGTGGTCTGTGCCTACTCTGGGGTCCAGGATGAAGATCCCACTGTGTGTGGGGGTGGGGGACATCCTCCTCCATTGCCTGAGTGTTTTCTGTGCTTGTGATCTTGATCCATGAAGACCCCAGTATGACAGTGAATGTCTGTTTCTGTGTGCTCCATGCTCTGTTTACTTTGTCAGCCTGCCCTCTTTGGTGCTAGAGTGAGGCCTATGGAATGCTTATGGAAACACTCGTGCACCAAGGTTGGGTGAGCATCTCTGGTTGGCAATATTCGACATGACCCATCACATATCACTGCTGAAGGATTCTGGGTGGCTGGGCTGGAAGGGGGACACCTGGGAGCTGGTTTCTCCTGGAGTTGGCCCATGTGCCCACTCGCTCACCCGAATCTGTTTTTTCACTGTGAGAAACAGAGCTGTGAGCACAGATTTTCTGAATCTTTAAGTCCCACTGCTGGGTGAGCCCGTGGGTTATCTTGGGAACCTCTAACACAATGTACATATGAGCAAACCATCCTGCAGGTGATTTATGTGGTGAGGGACTGCCTCATCGGCTGGGCCCTCTCTTATCTTCCTTGCTTGGGCTTCCCACATAGGCGTACCTTTCCCACAGGTGGTAGAGCATTCTGTTGTTCCCAGCTGCTTCCAGTTGTGGTCCCGGCTTCGCCTGGGGGGCTGTGGTGCTGGTGGCACCAAGTTGTCTGGTCGGTGGGCAGGGAATCTATCTGGATGCCTGATGGGGAAGGTCTGCGTGTGAGTGGATTCTGATGTCAACACCTCAGGGGCCTCGCCAGGTGAGTCTTCCTTCTCCTGGTTCTTCCCCCTCTCGTCTCTGTCTTCCAGGCCTCTGTCTTCCGTTTCCAGCTGTCCATTGAAAGGCTCTCCTAGGAGAGGCGGCATAAGCACAGAGGTGAGATTTCCTTGGTCACCGAGATGAAAAGGGAGACGGCTTTGCCACTGGACAGAGTGTAACACAAGTTCATTTGAAGCCACAGTAGCATTTCTCTCATATTTAAAACATTAAAAATCAGTAAGAAGGAGAGATGGCTCAGTGGTTAAGAGCTCTGCTCATGTAGAGGATCCAAGTTCAATTCCCAGCACCCAACTGTCTATAACTCCAGTCCCAGAGAATCCAACACCCTCTTCTGGCCTCCTGGGGAATCAGGAACACATGTGGCACACAACAAAACACTCATACATATAGAGATATGTAAAAAAAGTCAGTAAGAAATTGTCAAAGGCCATGGGAAGACAGTCCCTCATCTACATATATACAGTCAAAAACCTCTCAACTTTACTCATAATCAAACTCTCATCTATGAAAACAGGACTCGGAGACCCTCACTTTTTTTTTAACCTCACACTAAGGATTAGAGTCCCTAAATCCTCTGCTGAAAGGTAAAATCCCCCCTTTCCACTACTCATGAGCTTGCAAATAGGTGCCAACTTTTGGAGAGCAGTTTGGAGCATATGCTCCAAACTTTAAATGCACGCACTCTTTGATCTACTTATGTACCTTCTAGAATATTTGCTGTCACACATTCTTATTCTTTTACTTAAGGCCTGTGCATAGAAATATGGTTACTAGGGGCTGGAGAAGTGGCTCAGCTGTTAAGAGCACTGGCTGCTCTTCCAGAGGACTGGGGGTTCAATTCCCGGCACCCACATGGCAGCTCACAACGGTCTGTAGCTCCAGTTCCAGGGGGTTTGATACCCCCACATAGACACAGAGGCAGGCAAAATACCAATGTATATAAAATAAAACTAAATCATTAAAAATTAAAAAAGAAATACGGATACTAAAGTATTCTTTGAAATAGCAAGATAACAAGATTTCAATGTGTACTAACAGTAAAAATTAAATAACACCAAAGCACAGTTATGAGGTGGAATAGAAAAGAATGCAACATACATATGCTCTAATACAGCAGCATGACTGATGTGTTGTTTGGTGAACAAAAATGCATAGGTTTGGGTTTGCATACACACAGGCACGCGTGTGCAGATGTGGTAGGTCAGTTTTGAGAGATGGCATATCTGTGTTTCCCTTCCTCTTCAAGTCTGAAGAAGTATCTATGCTCTTAGATTTCCTTGCTTATTTTCATTTCAACAGATAAAATGAAAACTGTTCAGTTTGAGGAGGATCACTCTCCCTTGGTACAGTGAGAACCTGGGTTCTCTGGAAGGATGGAGCAGAGTTCCCGGAAGCATCAGTGGAGTAAGGCAAGGGGAGGGAATGAGGGAGACGGCCTCTTTAGACAGAGCTGTCTGAAAGCTCTGGCAGAGCCTGAAGCTTTGCATTTACTGAGCACCAAGGACCCTGAGACTCACTACATAATGTCCTTGGAGCAGACCACATCTGGGGTGAGATTGGAGGTTGGCTCTCAGTTCCACCATAATCTGGAGGGTTCCATGAGAGTCCTCCTATGAGCACCTCAGTGGAGTCAGTGCAGAGAGACAGGGTGGGGTGGGGTGGGGTGGGGGTGGGTAGGTATTGGGTCCAGGTGGTGCTTTTGCCCATACTAGATCCCAGGGCCTTTCCTTATTACTTGCTGCATGTATGTGTGTACATGGGAACCTGTCATACGTGTTTAGCCTCTGCAGTGACTGAGAGGGAATCTTCTGCTGACTTTAAAAAAAGGATAATGTTCAGGTTGGATTTGAGTTGACTAACTGAAGACAATGTTATTTTGTATGTAGATATATTATCTGCAGAGAGACTGTATTTGAATAGAAAAAGGGCAGGGCAGAATTCATCTCACTGGTGAGAGAGAGAGAGAGAGAGAGAGAGAGAGAGAGAGAGAGAGAGAGAGAGAGAGCGCTCCTCCCTGGGAGGAAAACGGAGTTGAAGGCTCATGCTTTTTTTTTTGTTGTTATCGTTTTAATTTATGTTATTATTTTTCTCTTTGTGTATGCATGTGTACATATGTGTACATGTGTTTCCACATATGTGAATGCACACATGCATGAGGAGGCCTGAGGTGAAAATCAACAGTCTTGCTTGATTGCTCTCTACGGTATTCAAGGCGAGGTCTCTCAGCTAAACCCAGAGCTCCCTGTTGCAGACAATCTAGCCAGCCTGCCTTCTGAGTGCTGAGACTGCAGGGGGCTGCCACGCCCACCTGCCAATTAAGTTGGTTCTGGAGATCTGAACTCTGGTCCTTTCCTTGCTGGGTATATAGCCCTGATACTACTTTTAGAGCCTTTTAGGTGGGCAGAAGGCACAGAGTACCATGGCCAGAGGTATCTTCAGGGGTCCTTAAAAAGGAAAAAAAGAAAAAAAAGGGTACCTGAGAATGAGAGATGATATAGCAGATGAAGCCCAATGGGAGTGAGACATGAGGTGCGCACTGTGTTAGCTTTGGAGGTGGAGGAAAGAATCAGAGACCATGGAGGCTAAAACAGGAGAGGAATGGGTTCTTCCTGGGGCACCTTGGTCTTGGCCTCATGAAACCAAATTCAGACCTCTGACTCTGACCTTCAAACTGTAAGACAACTATCTGCATCTTAATCTAAGGTACTGGTTAGAAGGTCATTTGCTAGGGCAGCAACAGGAAGCCAACGTAATCATCTCAGATGCAGAATCAGGGTGTCTAATTTAGGACATTTCATTCGCTTGATCCTAAGCCAATCAGTGAGGCTCACATGGCAAAGCATGTTCTGAAATATGTATCCACAGGATTTCTCTGCATTGTTAGGGCACAATGAGAGAGAGGGACACACACACACACACACACACACACACACACACACACACACACACACACGAGAGAGAGAGAGAGAGAGAGAGAGAGAGAGAGAGAGAGAGAGAGAGAGAGAATGCTTTAAGAGAAAGTGACTCGGAATACTTGGTGTAGACAAGGGCCTCTACCTGGTCTCCTGTGGGGTGGCACCTGTGGGCTGATGACATTGTTCCCCATGATCACATACTCGTAGTGGACGCCTGGGTTGGGCTGCTGGTGTATCATCTGAGGACACAAAGTCAAAGTCACCACAACCCCCAAACACCCTGATTCTCTGCTGGCTTGAGTCTCAATAACACAAGTGCTACTGTAATTAAATGTGCAAATTCTCATCTAGTGACAGTAATAACCCTGTGGCATGTTGGACGAAGTTACTTCCAGTGGCTTCTTGTGGGCTGCTTTTGAAGAATTCAAGACTTCATGTGTTCATGAATCAGAAGAAAAATGAGTGAATGGCCAAGATTTTTTCAAGATAAAAGTGAAGGTTTTACAAACTGGACAGGGTCTACAGTAGGAGGACCTGTGGCTGGCAGCCAGTCTCAGCCAGGGCTTGGATCTGTGGCCTCTGAATGTCCTAAGCTCCTCACACTGCAGAGGAACCTGTCTGAGCACTAGGTGGTGACACAGAGTCAAGCAAAACAAGGACCAGATCTCCTGGGCAGGATTAGCCTAGAAAATCAGGGGCCCGTTAATGTTCTATAGGCTAAGGTTGGCTGGCTAAGGTCAACTCCCCCTCCCCCCCCCAGGCCTTGAAATATAATGAAATGGAGTGGAAAACCAAAACCCAGACCAAACAAACAACAACAAAACCCCAAATAAATAAAAACAAAAAACATAAAAAAACCCTCACATACAAAAAATATATGTCTTTCTGGGTCATATTTTTTGAGGAGACAATGACAAAAACAAACAAACAATAAAAATTAAAAGTCAGTAGGATGGCCAGCAGGAAGCTGTGTGGGCTGCAGAGGAACAAGGAAGTGAGGAAGGTCAACAGAACTAACCCCTGCCTACCACCCTCCCTTGTCCACAGCTGTTATGGTAGAAGGCAGGGGGATGGGTGGATTGGAGCAACAGCACTAAAGCCTACAATATAATTGGGAGGCAAGCAAGGGGACACTGTCTTGCTGATATTTCTGCTCCGTAAAGTGGTTCTTGCTGACTGGCTTTTGCAACCCAGGGTCAGTCTCTACATGCCTAATTTTAATTACTTCATCAGGAAGAGAGAGAAGAATGACAGACTTTGAAGTCTTGTTAGCCTGCACGTACCCCTGAGTCACGTCTGCACTGGGGCCCTGTCTGCATTGCCTTTCTCCCTACTAGTGAAACAGGCTCCCCCATCACTCACCCAGAGGCCTGCAGATGTGAGAGGCACTCAGCTCCTCATACCACAAGCCAAGACCAACTCACTGACATTGCCGAAACACGGCACTGAGCACTGGACCCCTGAGGGGCACGTCCATGCGACTGCAGGCCCTTGCTGTCAACCCCAAGCCCCTCAATTCCCTTTGTACACGGGTTTCTCCTGCACTCTCCTGTGCCTCTCTGTGTGAACAAACACTGGATTTGGCCACTGAAGGCTTTTGCTGTTTATGGGATTATTGTTGGCTACCTTTCCTAGACCACCCACAGGAGGCTTTCACTACAGAGCCTTCACCTCTGATACCATTCAAATTTACCCAAAGCCAACCAACCAAGTGGAAAACTCACAAAAAAACCCCAAATTAACTAAAACAAGGCATCTTTTGTAACTTTTAGCCTACTATCTCCTAAGAGGAACAAACCAGAACTGTAGAGTCTGAGAAAGCAATCACAATGAATGTTATTTCGAACCCTGACACAGCAAATTTTGGAGACCAGCGTGGCTCTGGGAACAGTAGGCATCTGTGTATTTATTTTAAGTGTTTGTTTCTTGTCACCCTTTAGTTTCTCATCTTTTCAGAAGACTGGATTCTGGTGGCTTCATGTGTGTGTGCACATGTGTATGTGTGCATGTGGAGGTCAAAGGTCAAGGTCATAACTCTACAGGAGTAGACTCCCATGCTGTTTGAGGCGGGGTCTCTGACTAGGACCTGGGGTTCACCCATTGGGCTAGGCTGGCTGCCTCCACAGTTCTGGAATTACAGGCGTGTGGCACCACACCCATCTTTTACCATGGGTGTTAAGGCTGGAACTCAGGTTCTCATGTTTGTAAGACAGGCACTTTATAGACAGAGTGAGCTCCCCAGGCCCCTCTGGTAGCTTTCTTAGAAAGACCATTAGAAACAACTCTTGGCCAATTTAATATTAATATTCTGGCTTCAGCTAAAGTGATCACAGGCCCGTCTGTGGGAAGCAGGGCATTGTGGTGCAGCTCCATCATTTCTGCCGGGGTCACCTGGAGTGTTCCTTCTCTATTTGCCTTGATAGAGCTGAGAAGGTTGGGCCTGGAGTGGGTTGCTTTGCACTTGGCATTTTCTTTCTTCTGCCATAAAAGAAAACATGCCAAATTAGCACTGAGAGGAAAGAGCCTGGAGGAGCTCCAGGGCTTGTGAAACAGGCATTTGTTTGCCTCTGATTTGGTTCAACAAGTAAAATTGGTTTTACTGGGTCCATAAACTCTGAGGGTAATGAAGCACCTGGTAGACTTTATGATTTCTGGGAGTCTTATACATTCAGGGGTAAATGTCAAAGACCAACACGCCAAACATTGAAAGGGGGTCCCTCAGACAGGCTTCACTCAAACGAGTTTATCCAGCCTGGGCAAAGGCAAGTTGTTTATTTGTTCAGAGTGTGTTTCTTGGAAGCCATAGGATCCCAAATCCAGAGGGCACCCCCAAACACCCAAACTCACATAGACATCCAGGATCTCATTGGTGGGACCTTCGGCCAGAAAGGACTCTCCAGCAGTGCTGGAGATCTCATTCGGTCGCTTGTAGGTGAACATCGTTCCTCCACCCTCATACTTGCCCGGGCGATCGATTGCCCAGTTCCCATTGATGATGGAGCGGCCAGAGCGACTTCGCAAGGCTGTGGAGACAAATGTGACGGTGTGTCTGGTGAGCTCAGGGTGTGCACAAGAAAGCAATATGAGTACCCCAAACCAACCATCCATCTAATGATCCTCTGGCTTGATCACTCCTTCACCTCAATCATTACCTTCCATGTGGATTTGGGAAAAGCAAACAAACAAAGATGGGTGACTGGGAGTGACTGGGAGAAAAGGATGTGAGACGGGAAAAGACAGTAAGGGAAGAATTAGTCATGAGGGATAGAAACTACTTTATGTACTTGTGTCACTGCAAAGGTAAGGGGCTGTAGACTCCAGCCCACATGCTGATTTGGGCCTAGTGTGGGTGCCCATAGAGATGGCTGCACTCGATCTTGGCACAAGGACAGAGTTCAAAATTGTCCTCAGCAAGTCATAAGACCTAAAGGTCAAAGGTGTAGCTACAGTAGGATGTTTGGCTATGTTATCCTAAATAACAGCAGACCTGAATCTGAGGTGTGGCTACTCCTGACCTCAAGGCTAGGGAACAAGAAGTTGGAGCTAAGGTGTGGTTACTGAACCCTGAGAATAAGTGAGGAAGAAAAGTCTGTTTGTTCTGTATACATGATACTGTGTTCCCCTTTTTGGATCAGGTATGTAAGAGTGGTGAAAAATAAACTCTGTGGCATTTCAGTATTGACTGATTTGCCCTCCTGACTTTTATTTTGTGTCTCTGTCTTTTCTTTATTGTCTATAGCTTTCCCTCATCCACACACCCCCCACTCAGCTATGAACTTGGGGCCACTCGGCTGGTTCCAATTGCAGCCTCACAAAGACCGCTTCCGACAGCCTATGGATGGTCTTAGTTTGGCTTTCGTAGTGTTTATCTTTTTGTTTTGTTTTAATACAACGAAGCCTAAATTTAAGAACTGGGAGAGTTCACATGAAAAAATCGAGAGTCCTGGCCTTTTTTGTAAAACAGGAAGGCATGTTAACACTGGCCCTACATTCTCTCAGGGTGCAGGCAACAGGTGCTCTGAGGGACACTGATTCTATATGGGCCCTAGCACTCACTGAAGCTCTGCTTGCCTGGACAACACCAAGCCAGCAAGGGAGCGCTAACTGGACTCAATAGGCTACATCAGTAACAGAGATGGACATGAAGGTGGCAGGGGACATGTTGATGACTGTCTGGAGAGAGTGGCAGGTGTGCTGCAGAGGGTACCTCAAGATTCAGAATACATGTATGGGACTGTCAAAGAATAAATAAAAAGGTATTCTACAAAAATTAATACAGATGTTTAGACAAAAGGGCATCTCCATTTTAAACACCACAAACATAGTAGACCTCCATCTCTTTGTGCCTTCACTTTACAGAACAAATTGACTTAACTTTTAAAACTCCATTATGGAAAATATAGCTATAAACAAAGTTAGACAGGAACTGTTAGTAACACCCACTGTAATTATCTATCACCCAGTTTCAATAAGGGTCACACCCATGGCCCATCTTACCACATTCTGCAAAGCCGAGATTCTGCTTATTTTTAGTATAAGAACTTTTGTTCCTGTACCCATTTTTAGCAGTGCGCTTGTAGCTAGCTTTCCCAGAGACTAGGCCTTCATAGCCAGAAGCTCCGTGAAGGGACATAAGGGTCTCCATACTTAGGCACCCCCCACCCTGTACACCCCAGCCTGACTGGAGTAGCAAAAACCAAGGGCAGGAACTAAAGGAGAGCACATTGAGCACCTTAGACATTTAGGCTTAGAGGCTGACGGTACAGACAGCTCAGTGGGTAGCGTGCCTACATGGCATTGCAAGAAGCCTAAGTTCTACCTCCAACACTGCATAAAATTGGGACTGGGCAGCTCATCCTGGATGCCAGCACTTGGGAGTAGAGGCAAGAGGATCAGAATTGCAGTCATCCTTGGTTACCTGGTGAATTTGAAGTCAGTAGGGTAGTACCTGAGATTCTGTCTTAGAAGAAGAAGGAGAAGGAAAAGAAGAAGAAGGAGAAGCAGCAGCACACTTAGGGGTCTGGAGAGATGGATCAGCAGTTAAGAACACTTGCTGCCCTGGCAGAGGACCAGGGTTCAATTCCCAGCACCCACATGATGCTCCCAGTGGATGCGATGCTCTCTTTGGCCTCTTTGGCAGGTACCAGTCTTGTGCATGGTGCACAGATCAAATACACGCGAAATGAACTTTTAGAGAAGAAGCACACTTGGGGCTGGAGAGATAGCTCAGCAGTTAACAAAGCCTGCCTGCTACTCTTCCAGAGGGCTTGGGTTTTGTTTCCAGCAATCATACCGGGTAGCTCATAACCAGGTGTAACACTGGCTCCCTCTTCTGGTCTCTATGAGTAACTCACATGAAACTCATGAAAATATGCTGAAAAGAAAATAACTAAAACAAAGAAAGTTCATTTCTCTGAATGGTTAAGACAGGGTTTCCTTTAGCTTCTGCTCTCAACAGTCCATTGAAAGAAATTCAAGTGGATGTCACTACTGCTTCCGTGTCGATAAGCCTGCTCCTGGGTAACAACTGCTCATCTTACAACATCTCTGCAATGCTATCCCTCCATCCAGAAACGTCCCCTCACCTCTAAATCTTTTGTTTTTTTTTTTTCAAGACAGGGTTTCTCTGTGTAGCCCTGGCTGTCTTGGAACTCACTCTGTAGATCAGGCTGGCTCAAAACTCAGAGATCCGCCTGCCTCTGCCTCCAGTGTTAAAGGTATGCCACACCAGAGCCTTACTCATTCCTTATGCTGGTTTCCTCTGGAAAGTCCTCTGCCCAGTCCAGCCTGTTTCTTCCCTCGAGTGCACTATGAGACACAAAGCCTTCCTGCAAGGCCTCCTCCATCCATCATTTGTCTCCCACTAAGACCCCAAAAGGCCAAGATGCTTGCTGATGATAACTCACAGCCCAGCTCGAGGCTGCAGCCCAGCTAACTACATAGAGAATACTGGAGAGGAAAAGAAAAAAAAAAGGTGGAGGGGGGAGGGAAAGAATAACAATAACAGACAGGTGACTCACAGAGAATCAAGTTCAAGTATGCCATAAGCAACTGAAGTGTTCTGTCAACTTCTAACACAAACCCAAACCACTCTGAGTTATTTTTGACTCACTATATTGGATTAACATAAAAAGTTCAATATAACCAACATCACTAGGTACAAAGTAAGCAAGTAAGCACACAGTGCAGCTGATGAGATTTTAACTTGACTCTGCCACACTGGAGGGCAGTTTGATCCCACTGTTAAAACCCCATGTGCACTTTGGTTAAAGAATTCTACTTCTGGAAAAGTACCTGAGCAATCGATTTCTGGAAGTAGACAAAAGTGTTTGTGGTGTTCCCCAAGTACACAAACTATCTTCATATTTATCAGAAGAGATTGCTTAAGTAAATTATAATGCTGCTGTCCACACGATGGATGCTCCAATGCCCCAGACTGAATGAGAGCAGTGTGGGTGTAGGAGAGAACTCCATGATTTATTTAAAAAATAGGTGTTGGCCCCTGGCAGGGCGATGGTAGCACATGCCTTTAATCCCAGCACTTGGGAAGCAGAGGCAGGTGGATCTCTGTGAGTTAGAGGCTAGCCTAGTTTACTGAGCAAGTTCCAGGACAGCTAGAGCTGTTACACAGCGAAACCCTGTGTAGAAAAACCAAAAGGAAAAGAAAAAAATGTGTATGTATGGAGTGTTAATGCATGTGTGCACTCAGGTGCTTGTGTGTGCCATGGTGTACTTGTGTAAGTCAGAGAGCATGGGGGTCCCCACCTTCCACTTTGTTTCACATAGGATCTCATTACCACTGTATTCACCAGGCTATCTGGTCCATGAGCTTCTAGGGAGTCTCATGTGTCCACCTCCCATCTTGCTGTAGGAACGCTGGAGTCACAGATGTGTTACCACACCTGGATTTTTGTAGTTCTGGGGATCATGCTTATGTGGCAAGTGCTTTGCACTGAGCCATGCTCCAGTCCAGGGATTTTAAAATGATATTTATAAAATAGCCAGGTGATGGTGGCACACACTTTTAATCCCAGCACTCAGGGGGCAGAGGCAGGCGGGTCTCTGAATTAGAGGCCAGCCTGGTCTACACAGTGAGTTTCAGGGTAGCCAGGGCTACACAGAGAAACCCTGTCTCAATAAACAAACAGACAGACAAACAAAAAACCCAAATAAAGCAAAAATCAAAACAGAAATGAAGACCTGTGTGATGTTATTTGATTTATCATGTTTGTCAGTGAAACTTACACACATATATGTATATAAATGCACACAAAACTATTTAGAACAGCAGTCACTTGCCTGTCAGCATCGGGACAGGAACTGGATATGGGTGAATGTGGGAGAAGAGAAAGAAGACTTTTGGTTTCCATTTTTACTCACCCCTTTTCAAGACAGGGTCTCTTTATGTAGCCCTAGCTGGCCTGCTACTTGCTACCTAGACCAGATTTGCCTTGAACTCACAGAGATCCTCCTGCCTCTCCAGGCCAGTGGTAGGATTAAAGGCATGTGCCATGATGCTCAGTGCCTCCTTTTGTACTTTCATTATCATTTAAAATTCATTACACATGTATTCATTAAAGTGTAAATATTTAAAAATTTAAATACACAGGACTCAGCACCAGCAGAACCCCCCCCCCCCGCAGTGTTTAGTACCCCCTCACCCCTGTCAGCTTCTCCCATTTATGACATCAAAAGCTCTGAATTGGGGTGGTTTCTGGCTAAGGTTTTTTATTTGTTTGTTTGTTTTTGAGACTAAGGTTTTATATGGAGGAAGAGGTAATTCTCTGGACTCTCAGCAGTATCTGAATTACTCCACATGGGGAATCAAGGACAGCTGATCTGGAGTCTTTTTTTACCATGACTGCCGTTCCCACCACGTCCCTTCTGAAGGTTTGGATGGCCCTTCCACCATGCAGTAGCAACTAATTGAAACGGACCTATCAGACCTTTAGCAATATGGTCATGATTCCTTGTGGCTGCTTCTGACAGAGCTCCAGACAGAGCCTCACCTGGCCATGCATGG